TCGCATTGTGGACTAATTTGACCGAGAGGTGGTTATTCTGTCTGTAGAGGATAATATACACCTTCTTCTTAGTATACTTTTGAACGTGGTTCGAACTACTCTCTAAAGTTTTCTGATATCATTGAAAACAGTCTTTGACATTTTCAGTTCGGTAGACAGATTCTAAGTTTTGAATAAATCCGTCAAACATGTTCTATAAAATCAATAATTGGTAATAAATTGGTATATAATATTATACTGTCAATGGAAATTAAATTCAAACCGGACAGATGGACATGACGACAACCGGAACTGCATGACTTCATATTAAAATTACTTATTATTTTGAACTTAAATTATAATATATAAATTAAATGTGTTGTATTTTTTTTCCATGAATAAATTTAATTTAACTAACAAAAAAAAATACAATAGATAACCTTTCTATTACTTCATAAAAAAAAAACCTATTTATAATTAGATCGTTACATTTTACACCAATGTCAACTTATGATCGGACCAGACCAAATATAGACATATGAAATTATACAGGAACTTATAATTTATACCTAGCTTCACTCAATCTCAGCGCATATGTATTATATATTGTATTTCTACCTAAGCAATGATAAAATAATATTTGACATATATATTAGATATACGTTTCTTATAACTGACACAAAAAACAGTCTAACAAAAACTTTTGGTCCATATAAGTAATGCGACAACTTAAAATTGCCATATTAAAATCTTGGTAAATATTTATGTTTTCCATATTGTTTATATTTTGTTATACAATTTTATTATGACTTGTATATATTTTTGGTAGGTATTAACCGTTACCACTTACAATCTTAATATAATATAATATAATATTATGTGTTTTGCATTTTTAACACAAAATGATTTCAACAATCTAACGTAATTGTAAGTTTGAACAAATGCTCTTTTCATAGTTTTAAATGTTTTCGGAAACTACAGAAAATCATTTGTAATTGCATCATATTTAATATWATAATAATTAATGATTTTTAGTGCACACTTAGGTACTTTTTCAAATTTTGATCCACATAACTTTAAATTATACAAATACCTGTGGCTTGGTGAGGCGCAGTCRTACGCTCAATCTGCGGAAACGCACTGAGCGTACGTACCGGCCACAGTTGCTAGCTCTCGGATGGGTGACCACCTGAGATTTTTAGCAACATATCCTTGTCACACATACACAAACACGTGTTACAACCCTACCCACTTAAAAACCTACAAACAAACATACAAAAATAAGCCCTACCGTACCATCCTACACCCAGTGGCCTATGTTCCCGCGGATTCTCCTTACCAAAAAAAAATAATATACAAATATCTATATAGTGGCTTATAAAATAGAAAAATATGTATTTATAATATTGATATTTTAGTAACGTGAGAAAAATGTATTGCAATTGTTTTATTGTGTTATATCTATATTAACTGTTTAATGTATTTGTATGAGTGAGACCATTATCTTCTTGAAGAATAAACAAAAAAAAAATTATTCAACATCCTGTTATAGGACCATTAGCATTCTTTCTTTAAGGTATACAACGTCTTTATAAAACGCTTGGAATCTATAATCACTGCCGAATTTGAATTACACTATTACGCGCTGTTAAATTCTTTGTTTATTGTAATATTGCTCCAGGTGCCAATTATAAGTATCACATAGGGATGTCGGTGTATGAGGTTCAATGAAGCTAGTATCGATAATGAATTTTTATTAATACTCTACTTTACATTAATCATTTTACAATTTTACGCCTATTAATGAAATGTTTATAAAAATAAAATAAAATGTATAAAGTGAGTTTGTGTACCTGGAGAACCATATTCCTAAATACGCCACTGCAAGAATAATATAAAAATATACGGTGCAAATAACTGTTATTTACTTATAATTAATTTAATCATGATCGTATTTAATAAGCACAGC